CTGACAATATTTTATCTCTTCTCTCCGTGTTATCTGACAATCCGGTATCTTTTCTCACAGTATTATTTGGCAATCTGATATCTTTTCTGATTGTGTTATCTGACAATATGTTATCTTTTCGCTCTGAGTTATCTGACAATATGTTATCTTTTCTCACAGTATTATCTGGCAATCCGATATCTTTTCTGATTGTGTTATCTGATAATATGTTATCTTTTCGCTCTGTGTAGTAGTATATGAGCTTACACATTGGTCGCATAGGGATTCCCAATTCCATTTCATTTCATGGGAAAAATGCGACCAATCTATGAGCTCCCAAAAAAAGACCTAAATTCCCTACATTTCATAAATTCTTACAGCAAAACATCCTACATTTCATAAAACATCCTACATTTCATAAATTCTTACTTTAAAAAAGACCAAAAACACCTTCAATCAATTTCCTACATTCCATCAAAAAAAGCATATTAAAAATACCCTTATGTAAAATAACATCCGGTTTTTAAATAATGTAGAAGGGAGATAACTCTTGTTTTTGGAAAATTTCTACTCAAATTTTAACCTAAAGAATGGCAAATAAAATACTAGATCCAATCTTTAGATTATACGATCCGATTCGTTATTCATTTAACAAGAAAAAAGAGGATTGTATTATCATCTCACCGACTGGTGGTTCTAAATCCCAATTGAATGATGGTGGTAGAATTACCTTCGAAATAAATTCATTATCGAATTGGTTGCTTCTTTCCGATGCCTATTTCAGATGTGATTTCAAAATTAAAAACGGAACTCAGAATCAAGTTCCACAAACTAATACAACGTTAGAAAACAATTTCTTTCCATCTTTATTTAGCGAGATGGTTTTGGAAGCTGGTTCAAATCCGATAGAAACAATCAAACACCCTGGGGAATTCGACACAATGTTGAAGACAGTTTTATATCCTAAAGATTTCGATTCAGTCTCGGGTTGGATACCCGATGTTGGGGTGGAAGTGTTTTAAAAGAACCGGTAAGAAATGTTGCAAATGATGCTGATTTAGATAGAGTGAGAGTTGATGCTCGAAACACAATAGAAAGAGTAGCACTAGCAGCTAATCATGGATTTGAAAAACGAGTAATTTAGTACAATAATATTGTTGAGAATAATAGGTGGGGTAATTACGTAAATTGGAAATTATATCCTTTATTCGGTCTGTTGGAACACAGAAAGGTTTCCATAGGGTTACCATATAAAATTCATCTACAAAGAGAAATCAACGATGATAAGATATTCTTTGGAGAGAATGGTTCAGATGCAAAATTAGAAATAACGAATCTCCAACTTTTCATACCCGTAATAACACCATCAATTGAAGTAGAAACGAGAATATTCAACTCATTAACTAAAGATATTGAAATAGCTTTTCTTCACCGTAATACGGTAGGTAGCATGACTTTAATTGGAGAATCCACCACGTGGCCAATCACTAACACTATTAAACCAGCAAGATATTTAATGGTTGGTTTCAAGAACTTACCAGATTCTCAAACGAATAACAATAATGTCTTTAGAGTGGCAATGAACCAAACTCAAAATCCTTTAATCCATAAAGTTCAAGTAAGATTAAACAGCGATAATTATCCTAACCAACCTTTGACAATTAATCCAACCACAAAGGATTATAATGAATTGTATAGAAACTATAAAAATATGTGTGAATTATTTGGAAATCCACCTCAATTTGAATATGTAGATTTTGCACTTAATCATCCAATCTTCTGTTTTGATCTATCAGCTCACCAAGAAGATCTTTTCAAAACAGGAGTCAACATAAATATTCATATTGAAAAAACACAAGGAGGTGTAACAGGTTATTGTTTATTATTGAAAGAAGCAAAACATTTAATTAAAATAGCAGATAGAAGAATAAGAATTGAGTAAAAAATACACCCTTAAAAATGAAACCAGAAACTTTAGTTATGAAAATAATAGAAGCTGTTGAAACAGATTCCCCAACTGTAATAACTTTCAACGGTAAAAAAATCAACATAACTAAAAAACTTATTGATAAATACAAATATTGTAAAGTCAGAGAATATATATTGAAATTGATAAAATGTAAAAAAAGGTGAATTTATATTTTCCCTACCTTTAATATTTGCTAGTATTACCGCGGCGGCTACAGTGGCTGGTGCTACAGCTGGTGGAGTAAGCGTTGCCAACGAAAAGAAAGCAGCTGCAGTAACAGCAGCCGAAGAACATAGACACAATTTTGAAGTAGAAAAGCTAGGAAAGCAAGCCGCTGCTGCAAAGAAAGCAGCTACTGCAAAAAAAGGTTCAGGAGTGGGAGATATGATAGGCACAATGAAAGAATTTGGAAAAAGATTTAGTGAAGAAACCAAGAAAACTGTTAAACAAGGATTAAATAAATTAGTAGATAGTATTGATACGGGAGAAATCAAAGTCAAACATAATGGTAATGGAATATTTTTAAGAAATATACACACTGGAGAAGGAATATATCTTTCAAAGTATAAAGGAGAAGGAGTGATTTTTGGAACCATTTAAAATAATAAAAATGGGCAAAAAATTTAATCATTCAGAAATATTTCCTAATAACCCTATGCTCATGTGTATATGCGGTAGTTCCGGTTCTGGAAAAACACATCTCACTTTTAACATGTTGACAACACCAAACCTTTTAGATTTCGATTCTTTGTATATCTACACAACAACACCTGAGCAATCGTATCATCAATTTCTCAAAGCTTTAGAATATTTACCAAAGAAAGATGTTCAAGACCTATTCCCATATTACGAAGAAAACGAAGAAGAAATGGAAATAAAAGATATCATAGATAACTACATCGAAGGAAAGAAACCAACGGATATAAAAGTTTTTCTTACGAAAAATATTAATGATCTAGACTTTTCTAATATTGATAGCAAACGAAAGAACTTAATATTGTTTGACGAATGCGTTGCGCAAATAAATCAAGCTGTTCAACAAGAATTCTTCACGAAAGGAAGACATCACAACTGTCACTGCATATACCACTCCCAATCTTTTTACGGGATGGATTCTATGTTCATTAGAAAAAATGCAAATTGTTTTTTATTATTTGAATTAAACGATAAAGATTTATCTCAAATCATTCAGTCGATAAATCACGGAATGGACAGAGATGCATTTAAAAAGGTTTGTAAAACTCAATGGAAAAACCCAGATGATCACGGATATATATTTGCTAATACTAGAAAACCTACAGGTGAAAGAGTTATGACAGACATTTGTTAACTTTTATTTTTTTAAAAATGAGTAGCGATTGGAATAATATTTTAAAAAGAAATAAAAAATATATCAAACTCTATTTCAACCCATATTAAAATCTCAAGAGGATATTAAAAAGAAATTAGAACCTAAACAAATTCAACAACCACCGTTTCCTTCTCCTTATCAAATAGAATATCCCATTGAATATGATGGTATTATAATTAGGTCATTAGATGATATAAATCATTATTTTTCAAACCCAGACCCAGATTTACGAAAGAGCATTTCACCAATTGTTGATAATGATGGGTGATTGTTTAATGGATATAGAATAAAATTTGAAAAATTGTACCCTTTATTCAAAATCGATAGAAAAGACTTTACATTTACAACAACAGAAGTTTTAATAGATTTAATGAATGGGGGGAATCCTGGTATTGCCGATTATAAGGATTTAGTAGCATACTCAAAATTTCTAGAAGAAATAAGAAAGACAGGACCCGAAACAAATAGATCGAAAGAAGTTAAACTATATATAAAAGCAATTGAACATGCTGAATACGAAGTTGACGAAGCGAGTGATTATAATGAAGACAATCCACCAATCACAGAACAAATAGACGAATTGGAAAAGGAGAGAAAACAGTGGACAAGGTATAACGTTTTTATCCGACAACAACGAGGAACTACTTAATAGATTACGAATAATATTAGCGGCAATGAAGGAAGGACATCGATCAGACAGACAATATAATGAAGTAAATTGTATACTAAAAAGACTCCTAGAAAAAGGTATCATAGATAAAAATGATTATAAAAGCGTGATTAAAAATGTCAAATAAAGAACAACTATTCGCCATCACCTCAAATAAATCAGACATTAAATTGTCTCTAGATGATGAGTACGAACTCGATCGCAATCAAGAATATGAATTGGGATTAAAGTATTTCTCTGTTTACAATTCCATTAGAAATATCAACGAAAAAAATAACCAAATAAAAATATCAACAGATAACGGAGTTATGTTCAAAACCATACGTTTACTACCAGGAAGCTATGAATACATAGCCATTAACGAATACCTATCTGAATACGCAGGTAAAAACAATATTGAATTCGAAGGTAATTTGAATCTGCACAAAATAAAATTGATATTAAGAAATAATAGTCAAGTTGATTTCAACGTAGAAAATTCACTGAATACGTTACTAGGATTTAATAAACGAGTATACACGCAATCCACTTTAGCACCACACAAAGCTAATATCGAAAATGATATCGATGTCATAAATATACATTGCAATTTGATAAACGGTGGATTTTTCAATAAATACAAACGTCAGATTATTTACAGTCTTCCAACATTCACTGTACCGATAGGATATAGAATTATAGAGAAACCATTTCAAACGACGTATTTACCACTTAATTCCTTTATGATTAAAGATATAAATCTGGAAATAAAAGATGGTAAAAATAGGTTTATAGATTTTGGTAACGAGGAAATTGTTATTCAACTTCATTTAAAACAAAAAAATTAACACTCTTCATTCTCTTCTTGAATAGTGAATCGAAATCATCAAATTCATAGTTTTCATCCAAGTTCAATTCTTTTCCGTCGTTGTAAGGATACATGATTCCTTCACTGTTTGGTGCTTTTCTCTTAACGAGATTTAGATAACTTCTAAAAACTTTCTTTTGTTTATCATCATCCTTTGGAATAACTACTCCATTGGTGAAACTTTTTACCCAAGGTTTCTTAAATCATTCGTTACATTGAGTCCACTAGCTAATCGAAAATAATCTTCTACGGATATCTTATCTTTAGAGTAACCCTTAAACGTTTTCTTTTCTTTTAAAACACCATCGGAAGTTAGAATGATATTGTATTTATCTTTTGGCGCTAAATATAAACCAAATATAATTCCACCATCACCGTAATCATTCTTTCCTTTACAATAATCATTTTCGGACACCAACCCAGCTTCATTTAATTTATCCCAATTGCTAGACGAAATGTATAAACTATCGGTATCCGTATAGTATATTTCAGGCTTATAAAATCCATCTATCACACGAATAAAATTATTCATTATTTTTTTACTGTGAGATAAAACGAATGATCCCAAATGACTAGGTGTTAGTCGTGTAGATTTAGGAGAAATAAATTCTTTTTCTTCTTCATTTATCTCAACTATATATTGACTATCATTTACTTTTTCATAGCTTTTGACGTGTGAATCGTAGTTGGCTTTTAAAGTCGCTTCACTCCATGGATGTCTCGATGTAGTTATATCCTTCTGAATAGATTTACCATACAAGGAATTACCTAATAATTTCATGCAATTACTACCCACAATATTACCTTCTCGTTTATATTTATTCTAATAATTCGTCCACCGGCTTTAACTATTTATTGAATATCGACCGATGTTAAAACATCTGAACAGAAACCATTTCTGAATCTGATTTTAGTGCCAGTTTCCTTTTTACCTTCTTTATTCGTGAAAGTGATTTTATTTTTAGCTGGTATGGGTTGGGAGAACATGTTTTTGGGATATTCAAACCAGACTTTTAAAATAGCAGTTCTAGGTCTGAATTTCTGTTCATTAAATAGCTTAACAAATTCTTTATTTTCTTCTTGTCGAAATGGTCTACCACTTTCCGCTCTCGGATATTCGCTATCTAAATCCGACATGGCGGAAGCGTACAAACCGTTAGCATCAAAGGCCATTAGTTTAGTACATTTTAGTTTTTTAAGTCTCGAATGAACCTCCGTTTTATCTTTCGTGCTAGCGCTATATTCTTTTAATAAATCAATTATATTATTACTTACTGTTTCTGTGTATTCACTTAATATATTACAAATTTCATCCATTTATTCGTTTCAAATGATTTTCGATTTGCCGAAACTCTTCCGCCTTTAATACTTTATCTGATGAAATATCTTATAAAAGGGTGAGTATGTGAGTAAACCTTTTCTACATTATCCTTTTCGTTGTGTTTCGGAACCATTCTAGTATTTCATACCATTCTTCTTCAACCATTTCTTTATCGTAATGATATAAATAATACCAACCCTTTAAAGATAAAGAAGGAGCCGTTAGATTATTGGAAATATTCTGAAATGCAACTTCTTTCATTGCTTGATTGTATTTTATCAAACAAGCTCCGAGACATAACGTATCTCTTTTAGCGTAAGGTTCCCATTCGTGTCTTAAAGATTCCCAATTATCTTTAGTGTATTTTGCAATATTAACATCCTCAATCTTTCCCAAATTCATTGGTAAATTAGATGAATTTCCCCATGCTGCCAAACTAGATGATTCATGTTGATAGGAACATATGAAATTAATATTTTGCAAATAATTAGAATTACCCTTTATTTTCCATATTTTCTGTAAATCTTCATCAGTGAATGAATTAGTTAAAGGTAGAGACAGAATTCCTCTAGCTGTTTTTAAAGGGCATTGTGTTAATTTTTTTACGTTTTTGATCATGATCCAGTTATCAAAACCGCTAGCGTTATGAGCAATTAATGTTATTCTTTTTTTATCTATTTTTCCTAAACGTTGTAACATTTGATCGATGCAATCTGTACCTACAAATATTTCTACTATATTAGTCATGATTTTGATGGAAAATTCTTCTGGAATGGGATCTGTCGGCTTTAAATCTGGAAAGAGATTATTTATTCTGTTTAACATTTTTCTTAGTTTTTCTAAATTAATTAACGTGCAAGAATAAGGTATGGCTTTATTTTCGTTATAGGTTTCGCAATCCCATGCGTATAAACAATCATCGGGAATGGTTGGAAAAACATTTAGTTTTAGAGGTGAAACTTGCGTTACCGCATTATCATCTTTACAAGTTCTCCACACGTTTTCATCGTAATTATCTTCTATTTCTTTAATACATAAGGTTTTGTTATTTCTTCTAATGAGACAGAAATGTTCTTTGTGTAAATAAAAAACCCAATCTAATCCTTCGGATACTTTCTTTGGTTGAAAATGTCTATGTTTGGGCATATAAATTTGAAAATAAGTATTAAATTTCTTATTGAATTCACTGATTCTAGCAGTTGTCATAACTCCTTTTCTGTTTGATCATGAAAAACTGTTGATGAAATCTTGAAAATCTCTCTTGTAGTCTTCGTTTAAAACACGATTAACGCACTTTACAAAGCAGTATCCATCGCTCGGTATATAACAATTTATACCGATATATTCATTTATCTTTTTGAGTAGGGTAACACCACTACCCTTTTTTGATCTTTTTATTTCTTTGAAATTGTTTTTACGAAAAATTATATTTCCTGTGAAATACCAATCAGAAGCATCCGATTTTATATCCACTGTTGCGAATTTTTGTTGACTTTTATAATATCAATCATTATTAACAAAATATAGTTTTACGTATTCAAAGTCTGATGTTCGTAAAAACTCATAACTCATATTTCCTTCTTTTTGTGGTTCTAGATTTCTAATAATATTCATTGATGGTGGAGTTTCCGTCGCCAATAACATATCAAAATCACTCAATATAAATTCATCTTCTTCTTTATCTGGTATGATTAACATTTTAAACCTATCTATATATTTTCCACTCGTTTTAATTTCATATAAGTGTCGAGGCTTGTTGTTTTCGTCGTTAATTTCAAATTCTTTAGTTTCTACATTTTTTGTACCATTGATAAACTGAAGAACTTTTTGAGCGTTAAATTTTTTATCAGAAAAATGAGAGTCTTGTGTGAAGAATATTGAATCAACTTTTACCTGAAAAGGGAAAGTTATTTCAATTATAAGTTTTCCTCGGAAAGTAAAATTTATTGGACGATAATCATCCTCATCATCATCATCAAAAATATAATTGGGATGAATAGTATAATTTGGAACACAATATACTCTAATATTTGCTGTAAATCCATATGTTTTATATTCATAGTCTTTTGATTTATCAATATTATTAGTAATAGAAGCACTAAAAAAACCCAAATTTCTAAATGGAAGATTGAAATAATATGATTCCTCCTTGAGAAACTTTTTTTCTAATGCGACTATATTTTTGTCCTGTTTCAAAACTAGGTTATTAATAGTGGTTATCTGTTGTTGAATAACACTATCATCAATGTTCTGTATTTGTTGATGAATATAGGTTTTGATTTCGCTATCATCTATGTTTTGTATTTGTTGTTGAATATAGGTTTTGATTTCGTCTATGTTTTGTATTTGTTGTTTAATATTTGTTAGTTCTTTTTGTAATTCACTGTTAAGTTTAGTTTCTAGAGCATTTAATTCCTGTTGAAACGTATCTTCATTTTCTATCAATTGTTGAATGTCTAATTTTTGTTTTGCAATCTTATCCTCTAATTTAGATATTAATGAAATTAAATTTTGTAACTCAGTTTTATTCGCTACGTTGACCAATTCTTTTTGAATAAAACTTATTAATCTTTTTATTACCTCTTGTTGTAGTTTAGTATCATTAACAACATTTTTATTATTTAGTTGACGTTTGAAGAATCTTTTCACATTACTTATTTTATCTTCTAAATGGTTTTTATTTACTTCAATTGAATTTATTTGATCCCGTAAATATTTCTTGTGAACAGCGTCATTATCGTTTTCCGGAGACTTTAAATTAGTTACTTTGAAATTGTTCATATCTAAATCATTCCGATTTGATCCAGAAAGTAAGGTTTCGCTTTATTTATCCACGCTGTAGTGTTAGGTATTTTAGTTTCTAAAGATAAAGAACCTAATCCAAACTTGTTCGCCATTTTTATTGAGTTAAATTTATTACAATTTTTTCGAATTGTTTTCCTAAACTCAACTGATATAAAACCCAAAGTGAAAGCTGACCACAAAACTTTTGTCCCGGTAATTGAATTTGAAAGGAAGAACATTTGATTGGTTTATTAGTCAATTGCATTATCTCTTCAGTGAGTTCTAATCCATAAGAATCGAAGAAATATAAGTTAGAGTCTTTGTACAAAGCAGAATGATGAACTCCTTTTTGATCGGAAGTGTGTATATTTGTTATAGCGTAAAACGGTGATATATTTAACTCATTCGCCCATCTCATAAGTTGAAAGTTTGTGGTTGTATCGGTTCCATATTTATCGAGAAATTCATTCATTTTTAAAAGTCGGTTTTTTGAAGTTCGTTTTGATAAAACCTACCTATGATTTGTTCTTTGTCTTGATCGATTAATTCATATGTCGGAGGTGATGTGGTGTTTACTTTATCAACGATGAATATTTCGTTCGCCCAGTATCCAACGTAACATTTTTCGAATTTGCTTTTATATTTGAAAATACGAACTCGATCTCCGACTTTAAATTTGGGTTTGATATTTAAATTCTTTATTTCATTTTCGTAGTTATGTTGCGCGTTAATTGACTTTATAATATTTGGATTACTCGAGGCTTGTGTTGGTGTGACACCTATAGATGAATGAATTTTGTTATTGTATTCATCTACAACCTCTGGTAATATTTTAAGCCATTTTTGGGATTTCAATACCGTGAATTTTTTGAATAATTCATTTTTTAGAGTCCTGTTAAATCTTTCTATTACTACAGCTTTACGTTCGTTATGCGTGCTGTAAATTTCAAATCCCAGAGATTTCATATTTTTGTTATAAAATTCACTTCCTTTATCTACCCACAGTTTTTCTGAATGTCGGTTAGATTGTTTCATAATCGTTTCAAATGCTTGTTTGACTGATAATCCCGTTTTGTTTTTCAAAGGAATAACCCATACATATCTCGTATACAAATCCATAACTGTTAAGCAATATTTAAATCCTCTTTCGACTGGCATATGAATTAAATCGGCTGACCATATTGCATCTTCTTCAAACACTTTAACTTTTAAAAAGTTTTTAGTTTTTCTAAATTCTTTATGAATTTCATCCGCTAATCCCATGCCTAATTTCATCTTTGCTTTTAACAGTTTTATGATTAATGCTCTTTGCATTCTATCTTTGAAAGTTGGATTTGGAATATTTTCAAGTTCGATTATCATTTGTCTGTCTGCTTCGTGTCTGAAGTTTATGTCTTTATTTCTGTATAAAATATCGTGTTTAAGCGCAGCGGCGTCAACTCTATTGACTGGTTCTTCCCCTGGTTTGGGTTTATCGTTTTCGTCTAGTCGCAGATCTAACCTGGTACCTGGACCGGTGTAATTATGACACGGAAGATGTTTTTCTCCGGGATATTTCGCCCATGGAAATCCAGGAAGAGAGCCCAATGATTTTTGTATATCTCCTGAACCGAAATAAGTTTTTGGAGCGTGAGCGACTATCATTTTTATCCTATAACTTAAAAACCTTTTCCTTTCCTTTCTTCTAATCTCCTGTTTCGCAGATCTCTTATTAGTTGTAATTCTTTCAATTCGTCAGATTGTTTCACTGCGTCGCTTATACTCTTTCCCGCTTGCGCGATTGAGCCGACGGCTTTCGCTCCGGTTGAAATGAGTGATTTGTTGTTTGAAACAAAGCTAGCTACTTTTGGAATTATTTTTGAACCTAGAGAAAATATTGATGAAAAGATACCGTCGCCCGAATAATCTTCGAATCTGTGTTGTTCGTGTTTTAGAATTAAACTCATCCTATTTTTAAATTAGTTAATTTAACGAAGAAATTGTGGTTTGTTTTTTTTCCAAAACAAGAGTTATCTCCCTTCTAGAAGTTTCTAGACTAAAAATAACATCACTTAAAACGAGACTATTAAAAAACCAGATGTTAAGCGAAACAAGGATGTTATTTTTATATAATGGTAATTTTGATATGCTTTTTTTGATGGAATGTAGGAAATTGATTGAAGGTGTTTTTTGGTCTTTTTTAATGTAAGAATTTATGAAATGTAAGAATTTTATGAAATGTAGGATGTTTTATGAAATGTAGGGAATTTAGGTCTTTTTGGGAGTTTGCACATTGGTCGCATTTTCCCCATGAAATGAATTGGAATGGGGAATCCCTATCTGTTATCTGGCAATCCGATATCTTTTCTCACTGTGTTATCTAGCAATTTGATATCTTTTCGCTCTGTGTTATCTAGCAATCCGATATCTTTTGTCACAGTGTTATCTGGCAATCCGATATCTTTTCTCACTATGTTATCTAGCAATCCGATATCTTTTCTCACTGTGTTACCTAGCAATTCGATATCTTTTCTTACTGTGTTATCTGGCAATCCGATATCTTTTCTCACAGTGTTATCTAGCAATGCGCTATCTTTTCTTACTGTGTTATTTAGCAATTCGGTATCCTTTCTTACTGTGTTATCTGGCAATCCGATATCTTTTCTCACAGTGTTATCTGGCAATCCGATATCTTTTCTCACTGTGTTATCTAGCAATCCGATATCTTTTCTTACTGTGTTATCTAGCAATCCGATATCTTTTCTCACTGTGTTATCTAGCAATCCGATATCTTTTCTCACTGTGTTATCTAGCAATCCGATATCTTTTCTTACTGTGTTATCTAGCAATTCGATATCTTTTCTCACTATCTTATCTGGCAATCCGATATCTTTTCTCACTATCTTATCTGGCAATCTTACTAATTTTTAATTAGTTTACAAATTTACTTTATTCTGTAGTCATGCTAAATACTAAAACGCACGAAAATCGCAAAATCCCTTCAAATATACCTCAAACTAGAAATTTCACTGTCTATTCCTGTAATGTGTTTTTATATATGGCATAGTTTCAATAAAATTCGAGTCGAATTTTTAACTTTCAAATGTGAATAATTATGATTAAACATAGATTTGAAGGGTCAAATTTCGACGATGAGCTGTGAACACTATCACCGATTATGTAAGCTAAAAAAAATCCTATTTCTGAAACTAAGGTATGATTGGTCAAACGGATAGTGAAGGCGCTCCTTTACTATAGTTGTCTATTATATTTGCATTACTTGATATGGGTTATGTGAGCATCTATTGAACGGAACGATGTCATACCATAGTTTAGATTGCTCATTATTACATATGCCAGTGGCGACAGCCCCTCGGACGTAAACCTGGCTCCACCACTGGAGCTAGTCAAGGAACCCAAACAAGGTTTGGCTTACTCTCTATCTCTTATATTGACCAATCTTAATTTTAAGATGTACTTTAACCTTAACAGTTCTTACAATAGATCTGATGCAATACATCAAAGACATTGACAGGGTGTTGTTACAGAAGTTTAAAACAATGTTGCCGGCAATTTTAAAGAGACAGTTTGGGGTTACTCTGTTACACAAGCATACATGTAGTCATTTGGTCAGAAGCCGAACAATATCTGCCAACACATCACCTATTAGCACATGGAGTTGTTGTGGTCATATCTGTCATACTTTGCAATCATGTTCTCCAAAACGATGCCATTCATGAACATAAATCCACTTATCATTCGCAACTCTTTCTCTTGTATGTCACATAATATTTGTTCCTTATTAATATGATCTATATAAGCGGAACCAATTGTCTGAACGTTTCTCTGCCCATCTCCGTATAGTATTAAACAAGATTATCCCTGTTGCACCTCATTTTAACTTACCTGGTCATTCTATAGCCCACATCAATGTAGGCTAACTGTTGTCGCCCAGCACCATGGGCTGGAGTCTAATAGGAAACGCAGTGAGATGAATATTATTCATTGTTTTTTGTAGTGTAGTTTTGCAAGAATTCTACTCTTGGAAACATTCTTTCGATGTAAATGTTGACAAAAATTCGTTTTGTGTCTGGTTTAGAATCGTAGAACGTCCTGCCGAAACAACGTACGGTACAGAATTGAGAACACGAATTCTTGTTCTATAAAACTTGAAATGTCTCAAGCTTCGGAGTCTCTGCTTCTAAAGATTCAGATCAGGGAGAATGTCAGAACGATGCGAACAAGCCCAGGTGACCAGTTTTTATTTTTTAGAGGTAATCCGATGACCACGAATGGAAGATCCGCAACCAAATCTAATCGACCAGACTTTAATCACTTTTTAAGTCCGTAAATTCTTATCCAATCAAAACATCAGGCTTGTATTCTTATTGATAGCAAACTTAAAATTTGTTCCATAAGTCCACCCTTATCCACGTAATTAGTCCACGATTAGTCGTTATCGGGCGTTTGGTGGTTTCGCAGATGACCCCTCTGATTTTGTTGCCAGGGATGTAGTCCAGTGGCAGAGCACCAATGTATGTTTTTGAATACATAAATTTTTTATTGTTTGATCTGCCTCAGATGGCCCTTCTGAACACATTTCACTTTGGCACAATTGGGGAATTTGTTTTATGGACCAAATTCAAAATGGCCACTATCTTCGATATTCCGAATACTATCGGTGTCATAACTTTGCTTCAAAGTGGCACCCGGTGTAAATGTGTTCAGACGGGACATCTGAAGCAGAAAAAACAATAAAACATTGTTTGTACTCCAAAACATACTTTCATCAAAATCTAATGATCTAACAGACTAATGCTCTGCTTCCTATTGTCACATTTGTATGCGTAACGGAGGATTGTATTCTTCACCATCTTTCAGTGTCTGACGGTCTAAGTGGACAGGGAAAACATTATGGTTCTGTAATCGTTCTTTGCGGCTTGATATTTCAGGGGAGTGAGGAGACTTCCGTCGTAGGCATGCTCACCTCATACAGGGCACTAGAACATCAAAGAAAATTGACTATCATTAGAGATGTGAAACAATAATTGCTAAAGATGGGCTATTATTGAGCACCACTTGAGGGTAGAGGAGATTGCATTGTGGTTACCCGTGCTGTCCTGTACGGACTTTATATGTCGTTACACTTACAACTTGATCACCTTTCATCGCATCAGTTAAAACAGGTAATGAGTCGCCGGTTGTTTTGCTCTTGACATGGACAAAGGCATGTCGACTGTCACTCAAAGCTGTGCGACTTCTTACACTGTGAGTTTCTTTTAAATAATAAACATTTTATTAATGATACTAAACTACAACAAGAGGTAAAAGGTTTAATAAGTTTTATTCAAAAAGAATTGGTCAACGTAGCGAATAAAACTGAGTTACAAAATTTAATTTCATTAATATCTAAATTAGAGGATAAGATTGCAAAACAAAAATTAGACATTCAACAATTAATAGATAACATTCCAGGTGAAAATGAAGATACTTTTCAGATAACCACTATTAATAACGTAGTTTTAAAGCAGGATAAAAATATACTCGCATTAGAGTATCTCAAGAAAGAAAATAAATCATATTATTTCAATCTTCCATTTGGAAGTTTGAGTAATAAAGATGCTTCTATTACTGATAATATTGATAGATCAAGAGAGTATGAATAAAGTATGAACAAGATAAAGAATTTATAATATTTTCATCAATAATTGAACGTAATGGTAGATTAGAAGTTGGAGATATATATACTTCTAGATGTTCAATAAAAATCAATGTCGAAAAACCAAAAATTTCAGTTCATCTGAATAAGATTTATGATTCGAAAGAACATGTATCCTTAGTAACTGTAGAAGCTTTTATTATTAAACCTGAAATAATTATAACAGATAATGAAAAAATACTGCCTGGTGGACATCTTACTGGTCAAGCTATTGTAGATATTAATCACTTTCCATCTTTTGCTTTATCAGAAGTTCACTTAATTTAATTACCTAAAAAACTACATAATAGAAAAATAAAATGAACTAAAAGAAAAACTAAAACACTTCAACAAATGTAGAAAAACATGGAGTAGAAGTGATTCTGTTTTCAAAACTTTAAGCAAAGTTCTAACAGTAGGGATAACGGTGGCAACAGCCGTAACCGGTGGATTAATGCTTCCAATAATTGTCCCAACTTTATTAGCCGAGTTCACTGCCGTTCAAACTTCATCTTGTGGATTGATTACTTTAGGTTTTACATCAAAACAGAAAGCTCATTATAAAAAGAAAACAGAAATTTTAAATACATATCTTAATAAATTATTCATTTTTTTCGAAAGATCCAGAGAAAATAAAAACATAACCATTGAAGAATTAGAAGAATTCAATGAAATTTTAGATAAATTTGATGTAGAAATATCATCAATAAAAGTTAAAAATTCCTAGTTAAAAATAGTTGCTTAAAAAATACGAATAAAATTGAAATTTTAGACGATGAAACATTTATATCAAATGAACTTTTTTCCAGTATTATTAAGCTTATCTCTGATAAATTTATATCATTTAAAGGACAAATTGATTTAGATGGAGAGATAATTCAAGATGGAGAACACAAACAAAAAATGAAATATATAGGCTTTAATGCCAAAACTTTTCACAATTTCTTCGCAAGATTGGATGATTAATCAAATGCTTCTGATTGGTATTTCTCAGGAAAAATCATTTTACGTAGAAACAATTTCAAAGAAATAAAAAGATCAAAAAAGGGTAGTGGTGTTACCCTACTCAAAAAGATAAATGAATATAACGGTATAAATTGTTATATAGCAAGCGATGGACACTGCTTTGTAAAGCGCGTAAATCGTGTTTTAAACGAAGACTACACAAAATAATTTCAAGATTCCATCAACAGTTTTTCAAAATCAAACAGAAAAGGAATCATGACAACTGCTAGAATTAGTGAATTCAATAAGAAATTAAATACTTATTTTCAAATTTATATGCCCAAACATAGACATTTTCAACCACAGAAAGTATCCGAGGAATTACATTGGGTATTTTACTTACATAAATCACATTTCTGTCTCATTAGAAGAAATAACAAAACCTTAGGCATTACAGAAATAGACGATAATTACGATGAAAACGTATTGAGAACTTGTAGAGATGATAATGCGGTAACGCAAGTTTCACCTCTAAAACTAAACGTTTTTCCAACAATTCACGATGATTGTTTATACGCGTGGGATTGCGAAACCTATAGCGAAAAAGAAACGAATAAAGCCATTCCTTATTCTTGTATTTTAGTCAATTTAGAAAAACTAAGAAAAATGTTAGACAGAATAAAACATAACTTTTCAGATTTACATCCCACTGATAGTGTTCCAGAAGAATTTTACAACAAAGTCATGATTAATATAGTAGAAATATTTGTGGGTAAAGATTGCATTGATCAAATGTTGCAACGTTTAGGAAAAGTAGATCAAAAAAGAATAACATTAATTGCTCATAACGCTAGCGGTTTTGATAACTGGATCATGATCAAAAACGCCCAGAGGAATTTTGTCTCTACCTTTAACTAATTCATTCGCCGATGAATATTTACAGAAAAAATGGAAAAGACAAAAACAAATAATGGGCAACTCTAATTATTTGCAAAATATAATAATAATAATAATAAATAATAATAATAATAATATTTATTGTTTTAAGACCATTACACATAAGTCTCAACAGTCTGTACAGAACAAATAATAAATAACAGATATAAAAACAATACAAATAGAATATAAAAAGTACACATAAAATGAACCTTAAAACTTGGAAATATCACATGCAATTAAATAAAAAAATATATAAAAAATATAGAATAGATATTAAAAATATATATAACGGATGTATAATATACAGTATGTATGTAAAAAAGGTGCTAACATTGACCATAATAGTCTTTGAAAATAAAAGTTTTTAGGTTTGACTTAAAGTTAGGAAAATCTGAAACAGATCTCAAGGCTAATGGCAGACTGTTCCATAATTTTGGCGCAGCTACACTTATGGCACGATCGCCGTACTGGTTGGATGTTTTCTTTCTATGGTTCTTATAAGAGAAAGGTTTTAATCTTATTTCAGTACTATTCCTAGTACAATATGCTAGCATATGGATAGAGATAATGTCAGTGAGGTAGAAAGGCGCAGTCTTATTATTATGAATAACTTTAAAAATTATGCCTAAAAGTTTAAAACGAACTCGTTGTTCGACCGGGAGCCAATGAAGCTCTTTGAGTATAGGCGACATGTCAGTGTGACGTTCAAGATTCCGTCTGGTAACAAGCCTAGCAGCCGAATTTTGAATGTGTTGCATTTTGTTAATTAAGTAATCCGGAAGACCATAAAATAAACTATTACAATAATCGAGTTTTGAAGTAATGAAACCATGAACTAATTTCTCAGTGCTGGCCTGATCTAAAAGGTGGCGGATTTTAGAGATACACCACAGTGAATGGGACGCCTTGCGACACACACCCTTGATTTGTTCATCCATGTGTCCCGTTGAGTCCAGCATCACTCCTAGGTTACGCACAGCCATCGACGGAGAAACATATTCCTCACCAACACGTACATCACCTACTGATATCTTTAGACTTATGTCCCTGGTTCGCGATGAGAACTGAATTATTTCGGGTTTACTGTCATTTAAAGCTAATAGGTTAGCTCGCATCCAGAGTCTAATTTCGTCTATACATCTCTCTATACGACTGATTGTGGTAGTGTCTGTCCGAGAATCACAGGCGATATATAGTTGTGAGTCATCCGCATAAATAACAGCATTGAGTCCATGACGAGTGATTATATCCTCGACAGGTGTCATGTACAAAGCGAACAGAACCGGTCCTAAGACCGAACCATGAGGAACTCCGAATTCAAGAACATGTTCCTCTGATTCTATTGAGCACACTGACACTTTTTGGGTCCGACCTCGAAGGAAGGAATTAATCCAGTCATTATATTAATATTAATTTCATATGTTTCTATCAACATGAAAAATCTAGTTTGGCGGCATGGGGAAATTCATCTAATCTACCAATGAATTTGAGAAAGATCACCGATATTAATATTGCAAAATACACCGAAGATAATTGGGAATCTTTAAGACACGAATGGGAACCTCACGCTAAAAGAGATATGTTATGTCTCGGAGCTTGTTTGATAAAATATAACAAAGTTATGAAAGAAGTTGTATGTCCAATAATCTAACGGCTCCTTCTTTATCTTTAAAGGGTTGGTATTATTTATATCATTACAATAAAGAAATGGTAGAAGAATGGTATGAAAGTACTAGAATGGTTCCGAAACACACCGAAAAAGAAAACGTAGAAAAAGTTTACTCACATACACACCCTTTTATAAGATATTTTATCAGACAATCCATTAAAGGAGGAAGAGTTTCGGCAAATCGAAAATCATTTAAAACGAACAAAATGGATGAAATTTGTAATATATCAAAGGAGTATTTAGAAAGTGACACTAAAGGAATAATATAATTATTCAAAGAATAAAACACAAGTACAAAAGATAAAACAAACGTTCACGCTAAACTCAAAGAGCTGGACTATTCTAAACTGATGGCCTTTGATGCTAACGGTTTATACGCTTCCGCCATGTCGGATTTAGACAGCGAATATCCAAAAGCTGAAAGTGCTAGTGCATTTTTACCTGAGGAAGAAGAAGAATTTGTTAAGTTCTTTAATGAGCAGAAATTCAGACCTAGAACGGCTATTTTAAAAGTCTGGTTTACTAACATGTTCTTTCAACCCATACCAGCTAAAGATAAAATTACTTTTACGAACAAAGAAGGTAAAAAGGAAACTGGCACTAAAATCAGGTTCAGAAATGGTTTCTGTTCAGAAGTTTTAACATCGGTTGATATTCAAGAAATAGTTAAAGCCAGTGGTAAAATACTCAGGATATTTGATGGTATAGTATACGAAGAAAATTTTAAAACTCCTCCATATAGAGATTATATTTTAATTTCGAGAGATCTTAGAAATAAATATAAACGAGAAGGTAATATCGTAGGTAGTAATTGCATGACATTATTAGGTAATTCCTTGTATGGTAAATCTATTCAGGAGGATATAACTACATCGAGACATCCATGGAGTGAAGGAACTTTAAAAACCAACTTCGATTCACACGTCAAAAGCTTTCCTAAAGTAAATGAGACTCAATATATCGTTGAGATAAATGAAGAAGAAAAAGAATTTAACTGTACACGTCCTAAATCTACACGACTAACACCTAGTCATTTGGGGTCATTCGTATTATCTTACAGTAAAAAATAATGAACAATTTTATTCACGTAATAGATGGATTTTAAAAGCCGGAAATATACTATACCGATACTGATAGTTTATACATTTCTTCTAAAAATTGGGATAAATTAAATAAAGCAGGGTTGGTATCTGAAACTGATTATTGTAAAGGAAAGAATGATTATGGAAATGGTGGAATTATATATGGTTTATATTTAGCATCAAAAGTTAAATATAATATCATTTTGACTTCTGACGGTATTCTAAAAGAAAAGAAAACGTTTAAGGGTTACTCTAATGATAAGATAGCTGTAGAAGATTATATTCGATTAGCTAGTGGACATAATGTGACGAATGATTTTAAGAAACCATGGGAAAAAAGTTTCACCAATGGAGTAGTTATTCCAAAGGATGATGATAAACAAAAGAAAGTTTTCATAAGTTATCTGAATCTCGTTAAGAGAAAGGCACCGGACAGCGAAGGAATTATGTATCCTTACAACAACAAAGATGAGTATACTTTGGATGAAAACTACTAATGAATTTTCTACATTGAAATCAACTTGACTATTATTTCTTAATATCAATTTTATTTTGTTCAGATTCAAATTACCTTCGAATTCAATATTGTTTTTACCATTTACACTTCCTCCATATTCAGATAGGTATTCGTTAATGGCTATGTATTCGTAGCTTCCTGGTAGTAAACGTATGGTTTTGATGTAACTCCATTATCTGTTGATATTTTTATTTGGTTATTTTTTTCGTTGATATTTCTAATGGAATTGTAAACAGAAATACTTTAATCCCAATTCATATTCTTGATTGCGATCGAGTTCGTACTCATAATCTAGAGACAATTTAATGTCTGATTTATTTGAGGTGATAACGAATAGTTGTTCTTTATTTGTCATTTTTAATCACGCTTTTATAATCATTTTTATCTATTTTTATTATTTTATCTAATATTATTCGTAATCTATTAAGTAGTCCCTCGTTGTTGTCGGATAAAAACGTTATACCTTGTCCACATGCCACCATATCATCGAATTCGTCTATTTCTTGTATGATTGGATTGTTGTCTTCATATTCATCATCTGCTTCATCAGGAATAACTTTATTTAAATATGTTTCAACTGCTTTCGATCTTTTTGTTTCGGGTACCGACTTTCTTATTGCATGTAGAAATTTTGAGTATGCTAGTAAATCCTTGTAGTCGGCAATGCCAATGTATCCGCCATTCATTAAATCTATTAATCCTTTCGTTAATGTAAATATAAAGTCTTTTGTATCGATTTTGAATAAAGGGGAATTTGCCCTAAATTTTATTCTAAATCCATTAAACAATAACCCCTCATCATCAATGATTGGTGTAATACTCTTTGGTAAATCTGCTTTAGGGTTCGAAAATGATCTTTATGAGGTTCTATAGGAGATTTATATTCTAAAGCTAATTTCTTTTTATTATCCTCTTGAGATTTTACTATTGGTTGAAATAGATTTTGTAGATTTTCTGTTAATCCAAGTTGTTGTAATTTGTTATTTTCAACTTGAGTCTTTATTTTATTCTTAACTTTGATATATTCTGTATTTCTTTTTAAAATATTATTCCAATCAATACGCATTTTTAAAAAAATAAAATTAACATATGTCGATCATAACTCTTTCATCCGCAAGTTTTCTAATATTAACGAATATTTATCCCTGATCATCTGGGTTTTTCCATTGAGTTTTACAAACCTTTTTAAATGAATCTCTGTCCATTCCGTGATTTATCGACTGAATGATTTGAGATAAATCTTCATCGTTTAATTCAAATAATAAAAAACAATTTGCATTTTTTCTAATGAACATAGATTCCATCCCGTAAAAAGATTGGGATTAGTATATGCAGTGACAGTTGTGATGTCTTCCTTTCGTGAAGAATTCTTGTTGAACGGCTTGATTTCTTTCCGCCACGCAGTCGTCAAACACTATTAAGTTCTTTTTCCAAATTCTTTAACTGTACCTAATATATCTGCCACTCCTGAACCTTTTTTTTTTCGCAAGAGCTAATTTGTGTGCTTCCTTTTCGATTACTAAATTATGTTCTTCGGCAGCTGTTACTGCAGCTGCTTTCTTTTCGTTGGCACTTCTTACTCCAGCAGCTGCACCGCCAGCTATTGCACCCGCCGCGGTAAGACCAGCAAATATTAAAGGTAGGGAAAATATAAATCCACCTTTTTTTTACATTTGTGTCAATTCTTTCTAAGTCTATATCATCTCTGACTTTACAATATTTGTATTTATCAATAAGTTTTTTAGTTATGTTGATTTTTTAACCATTGAAAGTTATTACAGTTGGGGAATCTGTTTCAACAGCTTCTATTATTTTCATAAGTAAAGTTTCTGGTTTCATTTTTAAGGGTGCATTTTTTACTCAATTCTTATCATTATTCTATCTGCTATTTTAATTAAATGTTTTGCTTCTTCGAGTAGTAAACAATACCCGGTCACATCTCCTTGTGTTTTTTCAATATGAATATTTATGTTGACTCCTGTTTTGAAAAGATCTTCTTGATGAATCTGCATATTCAAACTGAGGTAGATTTCCAAATAATTCACACATATTTTTATAGTTTCTATACAATTCATTATAATCCTTTGTGGTTGGATTAATTGTTAAAGGTTGGTTAGGATAATTATCGTTGTTTAATCTTACTTGAACTTTATGGATTATAGGATTTTGAGTCATTGCCACTCTGAAGACATTATTGTTATTCGTCTGATAGTCTTGTAAGTTCTTGAAACCAACCATTAAATATCTTGCTGGTTTAATAGTGTTAGTGATTGGCCATGTGGTGGATTCTCCAGTTAAAGTCATGCTACCTACCGTATTACGGTGAAGAAAAGCTATTTCAATATCTTTAGTTAATGAGTTGAATATTCTCGTTTCTACTTCAATTGATGGTGTTATTACGGGTATGAAAAGTTGGAGATTCGTTATTTCTAATTTTGCATTTGAAGCATTCTCTCCAAAGAATATCTTATCATCGTTGATTTCTCTTTGTAGATGAATTTTATATGGTAACCCTATGGAAACCTTTCTGTGTTCCAACAGACCGAATAAAGGATATAATTTCCAATTTATGTAATTACCCCACCTATTATTATTCTCAACAACATTATTATACAGAAGTACTCGTTTTGCGAATCCATGATTAGCTGTTCGTGCTACTCTTTCTATTGTGTTTCGAGCAACAACTCTCACTCTAGCTAAATCAGCATCATTTGGAACATTTACCGGTTCTTTTAAAACTCTTCCATCACCAACATCGGGTATCCAACCCGAGACTGAATCGTAGTCTTTAGGATATAAAACTGTTTTCAACATTGTGTCGTATTCCCCAGGGTGTTTAATTGTTTCTATCGGATTTGAACCAGCTTCCAAATCTCGCTAAATAAAGATGGAAAGAAATTGTTTTCTAACGTTGTATTAGTTTGTGGTATACGATTTTCATTGTGAGTTCCATCTTTAATTTTGAAATCACATCTGAAATAAGCATCGGAAAGAAGCAACCAATTCGATTATGAATTTATTTCGAAGGTAATTCTACCACCATAATTCAACTGGGATTTAGAACCAACAGTCGGTGAGATGATAATATAATCCTCTTTTTTCTTGTTAAATGAATAACGAATCGGATCGTATAATCTAAAGATTGGATCTAGTATTTTATTTGCCATTTTTAAGGTTTAAAAATTGAGTAGAAAATTGTTTTTCCAAAAAAAGAGTTATCTCCCTTCTGGGGCTTATACTACAAAAAATACTTTACCATTTTCAGTTTATGCTACAGACGTTCCTGAAAAAAATCGATTGCATAACAAACTCCCGACCTTCCCGAAAAAAAAATCGACTGCATAATAAACTGTAACAAATCGATAAATCGATTTCACACGCATTTAAGAAAATAAGCTTGAGGATAATGCCAAACGTCTAAGGATTCAATTGGAAACAAAACAATACAAATCAGATAATGAATAAGGGACGAGTAGTGTTTGAAAGAAATATTATTACAATGGTGGCATGTTTGACACTTCCTAACCATTTTCTATCCTGTTTTAAATCCAAATTCTATATAGGTTGACTTTGTTTTACCTGTGAGAGGTAAAAAGTTGACTTTGAAGGCCATTTTGCAAAAACCGGAAGTGATGCTTAATGCCCGAAAGCTGTAAATTTATCAGCAAAAACTCAAATCCTTGTGTAATTTGTGTATCATTTATTCACTTTCCAATATATTGTAATCTTGGGTAGTACATATTATTCCTGATTCCCTGTTCAACCAAATTGTCCAGATATACTTATTGTTGGGCCTCCTTTATCACCTTTTGCTTGGTCTCCATTATCACCTTTTGCTTGGTCTCCTTTATCACCTTTTGCTTGGTCTCCTTTATCACCTTTTGCTTGGTCTCCATTATCACCTTTTGCTTGGTCTCCATTATCACCTTTTGCTTGGTCTCCTTTATCACCTTTTGCTTGGTCTCCTTTATCACCTTTTGCTTGGTCTCCATTATCACCTTTTGTATTGTCTCCATTATCACCTTTTGTATTGCCTCCATTATCACCTTTTGTATTGTCTCCATTATCCCCTTTTGGACCAATAACAACCGTACCTTAACAAAAACATTTTGTGGAATATCAAACAAAAATATGCGTTTTATGGCTGATTTTCGAAATTTATGAGTTTTCCGCTACAACACTTCCGGTTGTAATCTTGTATCTGGAAATATATATACTAGAACCGCGAGAGAGAACCAGTGCAGTGCCTATCGGACCTTCAACATCGATGAAAGTTGCATAGAAAACGCTTGTTAACTTTCGGCAGTACAAAATCGGTATATCATTTACCGCTACGCAGTGAAAAGACGGATAAATTTGATAACATTCGATAGTAACAAGTCGATGTATAACAGTAAGTAACCATTGCACAGGGAATGTAAAGATATCATTGAATACATCATGTCACACTTTGCGAGTTATAACAAAATAATGCAAATATTTAAGATAAATGTGAATCTAACCGGATGTGTCACGCCCACCCCACCAATTTTGTTATCACGTGTACAATGTTGAATTATGTTCGAAATTTCAACCGCCTATAGATATTAGAACATGAGATATTCGTTGTTTTATGTTAATGCTTAGTTTATACGGCGAAAACCAAATTACACACAGCCATTATAGAAGTCGGTGCAAGTAGAAATCGATAAAGGTTTTGAAAGATACCAAAATCATGCAAATCAGTCTATCCTCTAAGACCCCATTTGGAGTTGTCAAGATGGCAGCGCATTTAACTTTAAGTTTATAGGCAAACGGCGTCAAAACGAAGTGGTATCGAAATTTTTAAGACGTATTTTTGTCATGTGATCCAATAAGACGTCATATATATATTTATTAATCTATTTATATTTATTACCTCAGTTGAAGGGAGCTAACTCCGACAATAACATCAAAAGTATTACAAAAAGAATTCGGCAGGGCTAGATTCATATAGCCCCTTTCCACCTTCAGACGATTAATGTACTTAATTAATATAGCTTTTGATAAGTGTCACAGTCATATTAAGAAAATGTTGCAATTTACTTGAAACTTTGAATGCTTCTATTTGACCTCGGATGGCATTGATATTTACGGTAATAATATTGATTATAGCTTTTACATGATGGCAATATTTTTCATGTCCGACATGCGGTTCCGGTTAGATGGATGTCACTGAAGTTAAGTTTGCATTTTTTGAGGCACCCTTACATGACTGTGCCCTAATAGAGATAGAATAATAATTAGTTCAGATTCAGATACGCAGCAAGTCGATGAATGAATATTTCGAAACTCTATTCGTATAACATTGGAGAAAGATAATTATTCAACTCGGTTAATAAGGTCACGCCCCCACGTCACGTAGATTTACTGAGTTTGACATGTCGGTTGAAGCTCTCTTCTCCCCAATTTTTATCAGAAATGCACCATGTCCAGTTTTCGCATACAAGAACAAATGCACATGCGCATTAACAAATGTCTTATCCCAATTTCATCAAACTTGTACCTATATTTATAATAAAGTTCTGAATTTCATGGAATTATTTAATTTTGTTGTAGGCATGCGCATTACAATATTTCTTTTTTTTTATCTAAATTTGGTCAAACTCGGTATGTTTTTGTGTACATATTAAACTTGCCTTAATATGTACCTGTTTTTGGTAATTCGCCCTGCATCAGTACTATTCAGTTAAATGGCAATCGATTTTTTGATTTTAACAGTTTGTTATGCTATTGGGTTTTTTTATGGGAAACTTTCTAGAACAACCTCGAAATAATTAAGCAATTCAAGGGTGACTAGGTCTGATTATCTGTGTTGCTTTTGCCAAGTGAATAATTGAGAGGTTTATCGTGAGGTGGTATAAATAAGTTATATTATTATTATTTTTGTGCAAATTGAGAATATTGAGGTGACATTTGTGGAGTGTAATATATACTTGATTTGTTTATCATATGGCCTAAAGTTTTAATTTCTGGTTCAAAGCACTGGAGTTGACAGAATAGAAGTTTTAAAAGGTTCGAAATCCATGGGATAATGTCTCGTTGCCACGCTCGCAGCTGTCCACAGCTCTAGTTATTATTATTATTATAATTATTATTCTGTTTTCTTTTGGGGTAAGGGTTGTAGGGTGAGGACAAAAGAAATAAGATTTATTCAGTTTCAACTTACTGCAATCTTCACCTAATGTTCCTGATGGACAGTTACATATCAATATACCATCTTCTGCCAGTAAGTTTCCACCATTTTGACAGTCCGGAATAGACCCTAATAATGATACAAATGACGGTAAAATCAAAACCGTCTTTATACACCCACATGAAATGGGGCGGGGCGTACATGTCCGTCCGTCCGTCTACAATTGCGCATAGTCCGTAGACACTCTAGGAGGCACAATTCTTGACTGATTTTGACGAAAGTTGGTGTGAGTGTTGAAAATCAGAAGAATCGGAATTTGGTGTGAGTGTTTGCTATCATCCATGGATGAACTCTATTGAAAATCAGGAAAATCCAAAAAATATTTAGTATGAGTTAAATATTTAGTCTGTAAACATTCTAGAAGGCGCAATTCTTGACAGCTTTTGACATATATATTATTTGACATATATATTATATATCATTAATACACTGAGAGCCACCACGTTACCCGGAACATTGAAAATCCAAAAAACCAAGAAAGTTAAAAATAGCAACTAGATTTGAAAGTCCGTTGATTATTAGAACGTAGATATAAAATATTTCTAGAGATTGAAGATTGTTGCAAATTCAGGCTATAAAATTAATTTAGTCAAGAATATCACGTAGGCCACCAGACATACAGACTGGTGTAGTTTCCACAAATGTTGAATTTGTATGCTATGATTGTTTTTGGGTGATACCAATAGCAATATGTATGCAATTTACTGAAAAGAAATATGGAATAGAAAATCCGGGGCCTTTAAAGTTCCATACCTGAACAGAACTGTCCAAAAAACCCAGGATCACATAGACATTTTCCATTAACACATTTCCCGTTGCAATTGCAGTCTACCATAGCACATGGATCAACTGAAATTAACACAACATTAAAATTAACATTACTGTAAACGGTTGCTTATTAACTCCATGGTGTTTTCTTTTTACAACCGCCCAATCCCACGATCTCATGTGCGCTAAAATAAGTCAAATACGAGCAACTGCAGAGAAACTTCTGTGTAAATCGGGAGGTTGATGCCACCAGTTGAGGACAAAACAGTCACTCTCAAATGCTGTCATTAACAGTGTCATATTGTAGCCTTGACTAGTTTCTCTTTATCAGGAGTTACTTCCCTTCAAGTGAAATAAATTCCCTGCCCCTGCTTCCATGTCACTGGAAGTGGGGTTGTCTCGTAAATACAATGAAACCCCCTTAGAATTTTGGTTAAGAGGGGTTGCCGGTTGCAATAGGCTACTCAAACGGAGTTAAATCCCTAGTAATGTGTAGACCACAAAAGCGTAAAAATGTCAATGGAGTAAATTTCAATGCACGTGTCATCCTTACCTTTAATATCGTCAAAAGATTAGTTAGATAATCCGCAGCTGGTTTAGAGAGGTTACTTAACTATGGATTAACGCTTTAAGACCTTATATCCATACCAGATTGCGGTTTAGAGGAGCTATAACCGTTTTATTGGGGGTATTCTTCTTTAAAGTACATAGTGATTCTGAAGGTACTTTTCAAATATCTCAGTTCAAAGGAATGGTGGTTTACAGATGATGCGGTTTGGAGGGGTTTCACTGTTTGTAATAGGGCATGACCGAAAGTTATATTTTCATAAATTCCTCCCGTGACCCCCTGAGATAACACTTCTATTGGTACTAATATTGTCAAGTATGATGAAGATAGACTTACGTTTTGGGCAGGTGAATTGTGTAACGATATATTCCACTATGGACCATTTCATACATTTACTGATAGTTGTCTCGCGAAGATCTACACTATTTACCACTGGATATCGATAGTATCTACTTCCAGTTTGATATCGAGTGTAACTACGTCCAGCTTGATATCGATAGTATCTACGTCCTGCTTGATATCGATAGTAACTACGACCCCCTCGATTTCGATAGTATCTCCGATAGTATCCCTCACCAACATCAATCAAAACAAGAATGACCAACACAGCAATAAGACAATGTAAACGCATGGTTGGTTACGAATAAAGTTCCTGCAAAAGAATATATAGCATACAAATGTCAAACATCTATAAGGTTATAACATCTATAATATCATCCCAGAGCCCAAAGGGCCAAGTTGAAACTTAAAACTAAGAGTTGAACACACGAAGACTCTAGAACTACAATTAACCCTTCAATAAAGTTCATTTGTTATGTATTAGATAATAACTATTTTGTATTAGTTCAAACTTAAGCGTTACTGTCATTTTATTGTCACAGGAATACAATGGATAATCTATTACAACACTTTAAAGTATATTAAATAACGGAACACAATTTTATGGTTTTCTACACCATCTAATTATACAACGAAAACATCAAAGGAAATTTTGCTGTCAATGTTACAAGTCATTTTAAACATTAGGACTAAAAATATAAATTTAAATTATGAAAATTATTTTTATATCTATCCAAACAATCCAAACAATTCATTGTAAAGTATAGTGTGATGGTTTTAATGAAAATGTGAAAAATCCACCGTATAAAATGGTTCAGTATAAATTTTTTTACTTAAGTTTTCAAACACCAATAGTCTAATCCCATTTATGTTTTACGAAATATAAATGCTGAAAACGTAAATTTGCTCGGAAGCTGACAGATCAGTGTCAAACAGGTCTTGCTTTTCTTTTCAATTTTCAAGTTTTAAAAATAGGTCAATTAAATATTTATAAGGCCCCTTATAGTTCTAATTAACCTGGCAAATTTAAAAAAAAGAATTCTAATATATATACATATATATATATATATATATATATAAAGATTTTTCCTAATACCCACATTCCACTGTTTAAAATGCCAAGTAAAGATATTTTTACCGTCTATTCCCATTATACGAAATATAAATGGTCTGTTCTTATATCGCCCTTCCCATTTCGTCCGTGCCCAATTTGCTCCCAACTTAATCAATTTGGCCTCTTCTCATTATGTTCCTTTCTTACTCTCCATTTTTTTG